GAAACATTTGCCATGGCCTGGAGTCTGTGTAAAGTGATACAGGTGGGCATGTAGCCTGCTAATCCATATTGTACTGTGTGTGTCCCCTTCTCTTCATGTTACAGGACTTCCTACTGTGGCATAACCCTAACCCATGTTGAGTTCCCTTTGGGGACCTACTGGCCCTCTGCAAACTATTGATCTGCTTGGCATCAGCAGTTTACTGGAAGAGGAGAGTTAGTCCCAGCAGCTGTACTGCTGGAGCAGAGGGGTTGTGCAGGTAGCACTGCCTTGTATTTGAGGAGGCAGCACAGGAGGCAGAGCAAAAACAGAGGAGAGAGTGCAGCACAGTATCAGATATATTGTTACGTATTAGTATTTTTTTATATCCTGTATCTCAAATTCTTACACGTTTGTGATGGTGTATTGTGCATTGTGAGTTCATGCATTTCAGTTTCTTTGGAAGTCTTGTTTGCAAAAACCAGAAGATTAAGAAACAGGTGATTTGGAAAAACCTGTGACTGGTGTTTCCTTCTGTTCAGTGCAGTGGAACTGAGTTAAAATGGACTGTCTCAGGTGTAGATTTATACAACTGCAAAAGTTTTCTTGTGCCCAGGTAGTGTTTCCAAATTTATATAGAAGAGATGATTCCTTTGAAGATGAACGCAGTCAGCCTGCCGCATTGGGGACTGCTCTTGGGGCTAATTCCCTTTACCTTTTTCATAGGAATGAACAACAGTTTAGCAGCCTGAAGTGTACAAATGGTCCCAAAAGAGGCTGTGTGAATTAAGGTTGCATTTTTCTACAGCTTAAATGCAGATTCATTGTGCACAAGTTAATTGTATCTACATTTCCTTTGTTTTTACTAATAACTTGTTTGAGAAGGAGCACTGTCTTAAGAAATATGTTTACAATTATTGATAACTTTAAAGTTGTGACAGTTTCAGTCATGTAAGTTAGGAAATTAATGCAATGTAGGTATACAGTGAGTCTTTTTGTAAGAGATAATTCATGGCATGTCTTTGGAATAATGGCTGCTTTAAAAATGGAACTGAGTGCTTCCATAATTAATAGTTTAGTCAGGTTGTTAGTTCCTCTTTAATTACAGAAAGGACTATGAGTGTTTTTCCTTTACCTTAGAAAAGAAAAGCTGCTGGAGAGGAAGGTGTTTCCTCCCATTTTTTGTAGTTTGTAAGATTTTGTAGTTTGTAGTAGTGTATTTCAGAACCATCCCGTTTTCATACTCTTCTACGGATGTTTCTGCCTCTCAGGAAGTATTCTGTTACCTAGGGCACAGTCAGTCTTTAAGTCCTGCAGCAGCTATGACAGGTATTAGGGTTTATTGAAGCATTTAAAAATATTGCAGTGGTTTGAAACTGTCATCACTGCATTCATAGCTCCCCCTGCTGCTAACATAGGATATTTTGTGACAGTATGTTTAATTCATAATTAAGGCACAACTTTATTTTTTAGAAACTCATAGATTTTATTTATTCTTCTGAACCTTGTGCTCCCGAAAGATGGCTTTAACATTTGCTTTTTTCCTCAACGTCAGGAATTTTTCCTGCTCACCATGCTGCTTCAAGATGATGCAACATCTGAGTTGTACTGGCTAGCTCCCTGTTTACCCTTGGTTGTGAACTATCTGGTTGCATGGACATATATACAGATGGCTTAACTGCTCCTTAACTTCTACCTCTGCTGTGAATAATACTTCACTGGCATTGACTGACTCTGTGCTTGGGCATGTGGGAGGTCTGAGGACAGACCATACTTTTAAAAACCCAGACAAAAAAAGTTGCCAACTGTCTTGCCCTTTTCATGTCCTTTGTCTCTAGGTCCCCTGGCCTTGTAAAAGAGGGGCAGTGCACCTGGTCCTTGACCTTTCCTTTGCTCCTGATCTACAGCCCTTGTTGCCCTTCACATTCTTCACTAGTTTCAACTCCAGCTTCAAAATCTAAATACCATTTTTTCCCTATCAACTGAGCATTTCTACAGTTAAGCTTTTGTACTTGGAAGTAGTTTGGAAGTAGTTGAGTTAATTACTGAAGAGGACACAGAGCACAAAATCCAAAGAGTACTTCCCCCTCCCCTCAGTTATGTCATATTTTCCATTTTGCAACTACTGCAGCCTGAAATAAAAGAAAATTTATGTATACAACTGTAACAAAGCTGCCTGTCAAAATCTTTCTGCTTTTTTTTTTTTTGCCTTTTTTTTTTTTTTTTCCAAATTCTAAGCCTTTAAGCAATTTTTGGGGAACTGAAAAGAATGAAGTCTGCTGTAGAACAGTGTCCTGTATGTAATTTGTTGGCTGTTTCTTTGGAAATGTTCTGTAATTCTTTGCAAGTGTGATTAGGATAAATGGCTGGGCATTGGTCTGTAAAGATAGTTGCATTATGCTAGGAGTCCTCAAGGGGGTAGGTTAGGTGATGAATTAAGATTCCTCTCAAATTTGTTTTTTCTTCATGTTATATCACTTGCAGGCAAAGAGTAACAAAGTTCTAAGAAATAGACTGCAATTATGACATGTCTTGAAAAGCTGCTGCCAGTGAGAGGGTGATTGTGAACATTTATGAGTAATGGCTAGGTACTTAAAAAATTAGTAGTACTATTTCTAAGTATATGTAGTGCCAAAGAACGTTGTAACTGTGAGGTACTGTTGCAGATATGGTGCTAGTGATGTTATTTTGTCCTGCTTGAGATTATTGCTTTCTTTGTCTTCCCTTAGAAGGGATGGGTGGAGAGGACAAAGCAGTCTGTTTTCATCCTGATGTGTCCTTGTCCATGTTTGCGTATATAATTAGTGCTGCTCCCACCACTTCTTAGCAAAACAGAGGAACAGAGTCCCTTCTGTGTGTGGGGTGAGGGGATAGGAGTAATTAAATGAATGCTGGGAAGGGAAGTATGTAGAGGCCTTGTTTTTGCAAGGGGTGGGGAAGCACGAAAGGACATGTGCTGAAACGTCAGCTTCTAAGCTTCCCTTGTCATCACGGATTATGTTCTCCTCCCAGTGCAAGTTTTGGTGTCCTAGAAGTGAGATCACCTGGACATCAGTGCTTGCAAGGAGGAGACAAACCCCCACATTCTGATCCTTTGTTTGATAATGATGATATACCAAATAGCAATTTTTATGCTAGTGAAAGTCATGGTGAAGTTGTCTATTGCTGATACTACAGAAAGTGAAGAACAGCAATGAACTCTTAAAAAGTAATTTTAGGAGTTGTGCAGTAGCACAGATGTGTAGCAAACCCTGGTATATTGTAGCACTCACACAGTTCCCATAAAAGTGGAAAAGTGGTACAGGTTTGGTCTACCAGAAGTATTTACTTGTGGTTTAATGCGCTATATATTTTTGTGGCTGGAAGCAATGAATTTTAAGTTTTTGTTTCTCTGTAGTTTTGCCTGTGACTTTAAATGATCACTTTTTTTTCTTTATTCTTTCTTCTAGTAGTCAAAGAAGCCCATCACCAGGTCCAAATCATACCTCTAGCACTAGTGCGTCAAATTCAACACCTGCACCACAAAACACATCTGTACGACCCACTTGTTCCTTAACACCTACGCTAGCAGCACACTTCAATGAAAATCTTATAAAGCATGTTCAAGGCTGGCCTGCAGATCATGCAGAAAAGCAGGTGAGTACCCTTGTTCTTTGTTCCCTGTGAGAGTGCAAAATGTGTAGCTTAAAATGTGGTTTTCTTATACTGGTTGTGTTTACTAGGAATTAAAACTATTTTAAAAAACCCAATCTTGGCCTTTGCCAGAAAAGAGGAGAAAGAAATTAGGCCAGGTCTGCAGGTTTTACTTGTGAATGCCATTTAGCAGTTGAGTATTTTCAGTCTTCCTTAAAGTACCAGTGCTTTTGAAATTCTCTGCAATGAATAGTGATCCTCACAACTGTTTCCTTACTGTCTAAAGTTACATTGGTATTTACAAAGAGCATAAATTTCAACAGATTTTTACAATAATGTTATTTTTGTTATGTGGAAAATATTATGAATTAGGTGACACAGTTAAACTATTTGAAACTTGACTCTTGAGTCACTGAGTTGTTAGCTCTACACAGTGTGAAAGCAACTCTGGCTTGTTTGTTGTACCCAGGTTTAAAGATTATATAGAGGGCTCAGACTGAATTTCTGCTGTTTTTACATCATGGGAAATCTTGTAGCATTGCCGTCACTATTTTAAAACCAGCTGCTTGAAACCTGTCCTGTTGTGATGTGTGTAGTACAGGGTAACGGGATGCATGTCAGCTGCTTGGAATGTGTTACTCAGAGGAACCATATTGGTTGAGTCTAGTTCAAGTCCTTTCAGAGGCAACCCTGTCTGACACAGTCTGCATGGGATATTTAATCTTACCTATCCCTGTTCACTTTGGTCCTTTGAAGAGTGGTTCCATGCTGGCTCTAGCCTACACTGGTGGCTTTTGGGTAGTAACTTACAGGATGACTCTTAGAAGTGCAGTCTAGAGTGGTACCCTATTTGGACTCTTTTAGGGGTTCTTGTTTTGTTACTTCTAATTAGTTTTTAAAATTCAGTTTTAAGTTATAACCAACCTATACTGAGTCAAATGACTGACTGAGCTACTGCTGTCAAATGTGTTTAAGGAAATGGTGCAGCACAGCCAATTCTCTCTCTGGCCTTGGCCTGTAGTTTTGATAGTAGTATTTTTGCTGTGTACTGAATTGACATATATCTTAATGCAGAAAATACAGATTTATACAGTTCATAGGCAGTTTTTCCCCCACTGTTAGTAACACAGATTTAAAAAAAAACAACAAAAAAGCTAATGCTAAGCAGTCATATACTCAGCTGGATACTTTTACCTTTGTGTGAAGTGTAACATGCTGTATTGTCCTGTCTGCTATTTCAGATTATTTCACGTGACACTGTTGTTTATAAACCAATTTTGAATAGTAACACTTGAGAAACTTTAGTCAGATATTTGATATAAAAGAAAAAGTGAATGAAAGTATAGGTGCAATCTAAAGAAGGTAAGCTAGATGAAAGTGGAGAGGCTAAAATATGCCTTGGTTTCTTTAGCTTTCTAACTAGATGCATAATTTAAATTGAAATTAGGGCATAAGAGTACATGCCAGAATAAACTGAAACGTATATAAATTAGCCAAGACAGATGTGTTAAAGCAGACTTGAATAAATGTGCTGTGCAGTAATTAGCAACTAAACCAATTCTTGAATCACTAGCAGTTTTCTTGCAGAACTCCTAAGCAGTTAATACGAAAACTGGAAAACAATCCAGTATTGTGGTTAATTAGAAAATAATCAATAGAACTATCTTTAAGGAATGTGAGAAACAGAATCTTAAGTGGTCTCAGCTCAGAGGTGCTTTGAGTATTGAACAATTTCTAAGTAGAAAAAATTATGAATTTACTTTTTTACAAATACTTGAAAACCCTGGTAATAGTCAGCATGGATCTTTGGTTGGGACTTTTTTTTTCATTTGTTGGAAGTATCAGACTTTGGTAATACAGGAAAGCAAGTAAGGATTATCTCCTGATTTGCAGCAAGACTGTTAACATCTTTTACCAAGAATCTTGTATGCAAAAATGATTTTAAATGAGATTGCTTTAAGATAGGTGACAGATCAGCTTAAAAAGAAGTACTTTGCAAGTTGTTACTGAAGGCTTGCTGTCAGTCACAACGCTTTGGAGTTGTGTAGGGAGGACATGCGAAATTACGTCCTACTGGAGACCAGAGCACTCCTGTATGTCAACACACTCCAGAAAGGAAAACTTTTAATGCACAGAGTTAGAACACAAAGTGCTTTTTTTGAACTGGAGAAATGCCAAAAGTTAATTAAGACCTGTGCTAAATACCAGTATACAAGTACTTAATCAGATATTTTGGACTAACCATGGTAGGACATCTAAGCACCACACAGCTGCACCGCATCCCCAGTAGGATAGGGAAGAGAATTGAAAGGGCAAATGTGAGAAAAGTCATGGGTTGAGATAAGGACAACCTAATCAGTAAAAAGGAGGGGGGAAGTCTTGCAAAAGCAGTCACTTACCACCAGGCAAGCAGTGCCCAGCCAGTCCCTGAGTAATGGAGCCCCTGGAAAACTGCCCCCCAGATTTATTGCTGAGCACATGACATTGTATATTATGAAATATCCCTGTGGTCAGTTTGGATCAGCTGTTTCGACTGCTTTCCTTCCCTGTCTTTTGTCCAACCACAGCATATTTGCTAGGGGGTGGGGTTTAGAGAGAGAAAGGGAGAAGAAAGCCTTGATGCTGTGTAAACACTGCTCAGAAGGAGGTAAAACACTGGTGTGTCATCAACACTGTTGTGGTCCTGAAACACAGCATCACATGGGCTGCTGTGAAGAAAATTAACTCCATCCCAGCCAGACTCAGAATAACATTGCTAAACAGTAGTACTGCAAGCAAGGATCTATTTGAAACTATTTCTTTCAGTGTGCCGCTTGCAAGAAGCCCTCTTCCCTTATTGCAGTGTGATACCCAGCATCTCAGAGTAATTATACTACTCTCCTTGGTGTTAAGTGACAAGACTGCAAGAAATGCACAAATTGGGGAATAGGCCATGCCTTCTGAATTTATACTTCTGCTTCTCTCCACCTGAATAAGTGGGGATATTACAATAATGGAATTTGTCTGGAAGAGAACACCTGAAGAGGGTTGCAAAGTTTGTTTTTTCCTTTATAAGGTAGCTGGAGAGAAGAGGACATTCACTTACTTTTGTCCCTAAGGTTTTTAATTTAGGTCTGAAATTTGTCTGCCATTGAAATAGTGGGTGAAGAGTTTTGCCTACTTGAGCAAATTACTGGAAACATGGAGCCTTGACATGTATGATCTTTCAAAATGTTTGGGTAAACATCTGTTAGGATCAAGGAAATTTAAACCATCCCTGCTGTAGCATGGGTCTGGGTTAGACCATCTCTTACCAGACAGTTGTTCATTTCTGGCTTTAAATGGGCTTTTGTAGAGAACTTAATGTGATTTAATATTCCCTTTTGAAGTTAGAAAGCTTTACTGTTTCAAGACACACTCATCTACCAATCCTTTGGCTTACAGCCACTTGTTTCTGATGCATGATTCAAAATCCTAACCTTTATGTGTAACCATTGCAGGCATCAAGATTACGTGAGGAAGCCCATAACATGGGAAGTGTCCATATGTCAGAAATTTGTACTGAATTAAAGAATTTAAGGTCTTTAGTTCGAGTATGTGAAATTCAAGCAACTTTGCGTGAGCAAAGGTAAGTGTGTGCTCTGTGTTCCAAAATCATAATTTTCAAGGTGGTGTTAGAATTCCCATTTTGGTGTTGTTTTGCATGAGCTGTATTTGCCGATGACTTTACAAGTATGCTCATACTTGCCAGGTTTGCAGGTTGTCTTCCCTGTGTACATTCTGCCTCTTAATCACAGACATAACTCTTAGTCTCTAATGAATAGAACTGAATATGTAACTTTTATAGGTATTTTCACTTAGGAAAGAAATATCTTTCCAGGTACAGTAGTACATTAAGAAAACCTGATTAACTCGCACTAGTTCAGCATACATCTGAAATACCTGTCCATACATGATACATAGATGATATGGTTTACATGTAGGTTTACACTATATTTTGCAAAAGACATTTGGTAGGTCTAAAGCCAGAAGAAGTTTTAAGAGGTCTCATTGATATCACAAGCTGAGGAAAAATTAACATCTGTTACGTAGGTTTGAGGTGTCTTAAGATAATTTTTGGGTTCTTTAGTGAGACAATTATAGCAAAGTAGACTTCTGCTGCATAAGTCAGTATTCACTGAGGCAGTCCACAGCCATGTCATTAGTCCATTGTGCAAGATTGAAGAGTTTAGTCTTACAAGACAGGCTGAAACTTTTCACCTTTAGTCATGATCTTCATCTACTTTCATACTCAGTTTCCATTTTGAATTATGTTGTCCTGTCTGTTAAGTTATGCTACAGTTTAAATGCAGTGATTCTCATTTACTGTTCTAAGCTGCTTTAATAGTGTTTGATGCTTTTCAAACAACTACTGTTATCCTAGAAGCTCTTGCTTTTTGGCAGTTAGTAAAACAATTGTTGTAGTCAAAAGTAGGCTATAATGTATTTATAAATCTTTCCTAATAATGGACTTTCCAAAAAGTCCATTATTTCTGAAATTTTATTTTCTAACTTCCTTACATAAATTACAGATTCTATAGAACATATAATGAACTGCTTAGTTTCTTACAGACAAAGTAAAATCTCCTCTAAGGTTTCATTTCTGTCTCTGGGTGCACATTTGATCTGAAATAACATGCTAAATGTCATTGTTCACCTCTCTAAATAGTACTTTGTTTCATGTGCACTATGTATCACTAAGCTATCAATGAATAATGACTATTATGACTTTGAATCTATGATAACATGTATCTTTTATTTTTGCTGCAATCCCAAAGATGTGGAATATATGGCATAAGTAACAAGTTGGTGGGGGGGAGGATTTTGCAAGGGATGTGATTATCAAAGCAAATAGGTTTGAACAATTACATTATTTCTCTGCTTTTGCACAGAAGGAACTGTTTACATTTGTTCTGAGAGGGAACTTTCTCTGGGCAAAATGAGTATATTGTTTTAACTGTAACTCACAGCATGTGATTGACATATTTTGTATGTCCATGCCTTTTTAAGTGTAATGTTTTTTTCAGTGTGTCTATCCTAACAGTTTCTAAGCTACTTTTGAGCAGAAAATTAATTTTTACTGAACAGGGCACATATTTGACAAGTGTTCTACAAAAATATGCTGAAGTGGATGCTTTTTTTCTGTGTCTGTTCAAGTTGCTTTGGAATTTATAGAATATTTGTATGAAACTTCAGATTTCCTTGATGATCTTCTAAATTAATTTACATGCTAGCATTACACTTCGGTGTCATGAAATCTTGTTACTAAAAATTCATTAAAAAATCTGGGAAACAGTATGTAAGCCAAATGTTCGCTAATCGCAATAATAGTTTATGGCAGTTCAATAGAAGAGGAAAAATATAGAGGGGAATTGCTAGCAATGCAATTTCTTTGTAAGCCAGGTGTAGTTACAACTTTTATTTCCTTCAATGTCTTTTAATGATGAAATATTTTAAGATTGGAGTTTACCATAACTAGAGACTAGCTTTAGAAGAAGTGGTTGTTGTATCAGCCACAGAGCCAGATACTAGAAATTGTTTCACCTAGAAGAGGGCTTTCTTGTTTAAAAAAAAAAGTCACAGGTGCTTTGAATTTGAAAACTGCATCACACAGGCATAATTCTGTTCTTGGAACATTCGGTTACTCAACATCCTCCTCCAGTGTTCTCTTTTTTCTGGGAGTTAAATTCAGGTGAAGAAGAGGCTTAAACATAACTGTGTATTGGTCATAATGAAATACAGCAAATAAATTTTGTGAACTAAGGAGTTGAATACTGCAGGTCTCTGTGCCTCTGCATGCAGTGTTTGTAGGTGATTGAACAGGTTGGAAATTCAATTGAAGTGCATTAATAGAGCTAAGGAGCTTGATGTCATTTGCCAAGATTGTAGAAGTATTGTGGAGATATTTATTTAATGTATCTGTGTAATAGTAATACTAGTAATAATACTAATTTGTTGGTTTTTTTTTTTTTTCTTGCAGGATACTATTTTTGAGACAACAAATTAAAGAACTTGAAAAGCTAAAGAATCAGAATTCCTTCATGGTGTGAAAAGTTGTAAACAATTGCACATGGTTTTGAGTACAGGAACTATTAAACTGATGCCCAGTCTTAACACTTTTGAGCTGCATTTGAGTAGACTTTGGACCGTTGAGCTGGGCAGAAAAAAAGTTGACATGGGGAAGGGGACAGGAGGGAGTCAAATTCAGGGGCAAGATACAAGAATGATTTGTAAAACCCTTGAAATGTAGATTTCTTGTAGATGTATTCTTCACGTTGTAAATATGTTTTGTAGAGTGAAGCCATGGGAAGCCATGTGTATCAGAGCTTAGACATCCAAAACTAATCAATGCTGAGGTGGCTAAATACCTAGCCTTTTACATGTAAACCTGTCTGCAAAATTAGCTTTCTTTTTTTTTTCTTTTTTTTTTTCTTTTTTTTTTAGTTAATTTATCATTCAGAAGTCTTGCATTTCCTAAAATTCAATGCAAGCGCCAGGCGATCTGTGTCTAAGGCTGCAACAATTTGGGTAATGTACAAAATACCGTGAAACAACCGTTTCCACACTTGCACCGAACCAAGAGCAGTGCTTCTCCGTTTCTGTTTTACAGAGAAATGTTTCTCATTTTCTGTGTTCCATTTCCCCATGAAATCCTAAATCTGATTTTATCAGTTTTTTAATGCTTCTAATTTTCTCTTTTCTTAAGGCACTGTTGCTATGGCACTTTTTCTATAATCTTTTCATTCCTGTGTACAGTAGCTTAAAATTGCAGTGATTGAGCATAACCCACTTGTTTGTATAAATTATTGAAACGTATTTCCATTTGCACCCTGTAAGAATGGACTTATAGTACTGCTGGGCATGTGTGCTGAAAGTACATTACTTGCTCAAATATAAAGAAATAGCCCAATGAACATGTTAACATGGTTGTGGGAGGGGAAAGAGGAAAAAAAAAAAGCTAGTCAGATGTGAATTGTATCTGTTGTAATAAACATGTTAAAACAAAAGAAACACTGGTTTTCATTTCCTTTGGTCAACACATATTAAAATTTTATCTGTTTGGGGACTCTTTAGTAGAACTGTTCTTGTTGAACGTTTTTGTACTTAAATAATTCCTCAAGGGAGGTTTTGTTTAAAACTTGTAAACAGGAAAATGTGTATAAAATATTTAATGAAATATAAAATTCAACAAGAATGATTTAAGACACCTCCCCAACAGCTGTCATATGTTAATTCCTGGTTTACCTGTCTTGATATTATGACATTTCATTTGGAAGGATGTTTGTGTTGTAGCTAACTGTTTAAGTCTGGTGCTGACTGCTGTTCTTAACCATCACAAAACGCTGAATTTGTGTAATTGGAGCAACCCACCGTTTGAAAATGGTGGCAAAGCTCAGCTTTGTATATTGTTTCCTAAAGTATATTAAAAATAAAAAAGAAACTATTGCTACTACAAAATAAATGTGACTTTTTCTTTGCTTAAAAACAACCACAAAAACAGCAATGGCGGTACTAGTTTTAATATTTGCAGAGGTGTATGTGTTCCACTAGTCTGTTAAGTAAGAAAGATTGTAGGTGATGGGTTAAGAAAAAAGAACTTAACGATAAAAGTGTTGACATGTGATGCTACATGTTTTGTTCCTCAAAATACTGCCTTTCAGCACCAGAATCATTACTTTTTATTTTTTTACTATTTTTATTTTGTCTTGTCTTGTGTTGAGCGGGCTGAGACTGATTTTTAAAAGCAGTTTTTAATCAGTGGAAGCTGAATGATCTCTCCAAACAAGACATTGAAATGGAACGACTTGAAATCAGAAATCAGGACAGATTAACTTGTAATTGTTCTTCACTTTTTAACCTAGAATGTTCTGTTGTGTTTCATATCGTGCAATTACTTGCTTTTGCTCAGAAACTGGGGAATAATCTTGAATGAATTAATTTTAACATAAGCATTTCTGCAGTTTTAGAGAGCCAATGCCAAGTGGCAGAAGGCTTCTTGAGACTCCTATTTGCCCAGCATCCTATTTCTTGCAATGCTTGTGGTCTTTAGGCTGTCCAAGTGTAGTGCAATAGCATGTGAAATGGATGGATGAGTGATCTTTTCATCAGTGACTGTCCTTAATTCTGGTACTTTGCTGTTAGTTACTTCATGAGATGAAGATTGCTTCTAATAGAGATGCTGGGATTAGGAGCTGGATGTTTCTGTGAATACATCATCCCTGTTGTTGTCCCTAGAATAATAGTTTGTGCTCACCAGAACACAATTTCATTTACAGACGTAAGATGACAATAAGACAATTCTGGATACTTAAAAAATACCACCTTGACTTTCAAAAGTTTCCTTGAGAGGAATATTTCTCAGCTGAAGTCCCATCTCATTGATAGTAGCATTACTCTTCTGCCCATATTTACTGATTAATGGTATGTAGGGTTTCTTTTGCATTTTGGTTTAGTTTTCTTGCTTATATTATCATAGGAATCAGAGCTTTTGATTTAGGAGGAATTTGTTTCTTTGCTGAGTGTAACTTCTTTGGCAGTTGTTTTCTTTTCCAGTTAGTGAGGCAAAAGTTTTCATTTGCAAATGAGATTCATATATACGCTCGGTTTTTTTGCAAAGAACGTTGGTTTCAGCTGTGATACAGGTTTGGATTCCAGTTACACATCACTCTTTCCAGGTACCTGTTAAGTTCTTGTCTTCTGTCTCTTTGGTCTCCTACAACATGTGTTTGGAAAGATTCAGTTGTAAGTACCAGCTCTATTCTTCTAACCTTGGATGCCTGTGTTGCTGCTGCTGAACTAACTTGGCTGGAATAATTCCTGGAAGATGCTCCTTGCTGCAGATGTCTGTTTCCCAACCATATCTGTTTGAAGATCCTATCTGAAGGAAAGGACTGGTGTAGACTTTATACCACTTAGGGCTCCAACTCGCTGAGGATCTGGAGGTCTTGAAGCACTCCTCTCTGTAATGAAGACACTAATCCATCTGATCTAGGACTTTCTAGACAATGAACTGTTACATTTTGTCTCTCATGGGAGCATCCTGCCAAGTCTCATTACATCCCAGACAGGTCCTGCCTGGAGCTGCAGGTCATATGGCAGGTGTACTACTACATGGCTCTGTATACCAGGCTGTGCACACCAGGTTTGCAAACACATCCTGAATAGCCTTCTCTTTTCAACAGTAAATGTGACGGTATTTTGCCACCTTCTGTTAGTCACACGGGCCAGAGAGCATTTTCAAAGGGATGCCATCTACTTCTGCGGGCAGCACCATGATCAAAGATCATGATCAAAGATCCCTTCACTTGAGTTTCACATCTTAGAATTTGGGCTGAGTGAAAAGTGAGCATTAATATAGTGAGGCTCAGAATGGTTGGTTATGCTCATCTTCCCTTTCACTGTTACAAGAAAATAATCCAATTAATTATGGATAATACTATCACAGTTATCTGCACCAATAGCTAGAATGGTGCAACTCAGATGATTCTCTCTTCCTCCCCAGATTTCTGAAGTTGGTGGCACATGGACATCTGTTAGTGTGTTGCCTTTCAGAGCTCTGAACAGCTTTCTTCTTGTGCTTGGCCAGGCACATTTGCTGTCAAGATTTTACATACTTCATTGTCCAATAATCTGTGATCAGATTTTTTTCTGGTATAATTGGCATACTGTTGGATTTTGACTGAAGTTCTTGTTCTGCTAGATGCATCCCCACTAGCAGCAGGGAGCTTGTTTACCAAGTACTGGGAACAGTTATTTGGCAAAGTGACCAAAGCCTGTGGCAGATGGTGCTACAGAAGGTGAATGTGTTGTGAGCAAGTCTGGACTACCTGGTAGTGCCAAGGTACTCTGATGCCCATCCATCCGGGTTCCTTTAGCTGCTGCTCTGCATCCTAGGAGTAAAGCCTTTTTTCTTCTTCATCCTCAAAGGTTTAATTGAGCTTGCTTTTTCTTCTTGTCAAGGATTCAATTCCACAGTAAGTCTTCTATCTTTTTTTAAAATGGTAAAGCTATGATCCACTGACAGCATTTCCTCTGTCTTCACTTGCTAAATAAACCTGCCTTTCTGCTTGCAGTAGTGTTTCCAGTAGAAGTATGGATAACTGAACCCTTTGATACTGTTCCTTTTTTTTGTAAAATAAAACTTCTCAGAATTCGTTTTGACGTAGGGTGCTATCTGAATTTCACTTAATTAAAACAAAACAAAAAAAGTGGTGTATGTTTTGTTCTCATGTCCCTCAGCATCTCTTCATCTGAACAATTAGAGATCTGAGGGAATGAGTGTGCAGAGAGCATATATGACACCTAGTGATAGGATGATCTTTAAGGACTCCTGTTTGCTTCGTAGGTGGTTTCATTGAAATAATTTTTTGGTGAGGGTGAGGCTTCACACGGTGGGAGAGCTTATCTGACATCCAGCTCCCTGCAGAAAGAATAAATCTTTCTTTATTGTTTCCCTACTCCCAGTGATGTGCTCCTGCAAGCCCATTTTGACAGCCTTAAAGCAGTTGAGGGAGTGAAGCCCCAGGTAAAATGTCTGCTAACTCCATCAGCTGAAGAGGTTGACACCAAGGGGCCAAGCGAGGGCATGATTGGCACCTTCTGGTGTTGAAGGTCAGAGTAACTCTTGGGGCAACAGTAAACTCCAATGGTAAAGACTACCTGCTTTTGAAACCCTGAGGTGTGTGTGCAGGGAGAAGAGCTCGGAGCATGGAGACCACTCTGAGTTAAGACATGTTCTTCTGAGGTTTGGGTGTATGGATGCTTTCATCTGAAACTCATCTCTATGAGTGTTTACCTGAAGTGCAGCCGAACATCACTGAACATCACTGAAATCCTAACTCACTATCACAACTGCCATATTAACTGCTACATGAATATTCAACTAAGCAGGAGTAAAGATTTAATTACCAACTATGTTTAAAACAAAGCACCCATGCCAAAGCAAATGGTGCATCTTTAAAAGGTTTGGAATATGAATGGAGAAGCATCTCCAAGGAGATGCTTTTCATCTTCAGCTACTACTCCCTATTAAAACTATCACTGAGCCAGTATTCTTGACCTGGACAATTTCTTCAGGTACCAAACCTCTCTCAAAAATGAGGGAAAATCAGCTTGGCTGTCCTCATCTGCCATCTGATGAGTTTGGAGCATTTCCTGAACTCCTTAGTTGTTCTGTAAGGATTTTGCAGGTTCCCCTGTGAGAGCCTTGTGAGCAAGCACGTGTCCTCATTGCAGGTCCCCAGCAGCCTGCCATCTTCCACGGTTTGGGGGTCAGCTCGGGTACTTGGCAGACCTCTGTCTTGTGCCAGAACATGGAGAGAGGCAGGCTCTTGCTCTGCATGTGCTTTCTCTCTCCAGACAATCTGTCTCACTTCTCTGGTGTCTGAAGCTGTTTGGTTCCTGCTTGGGGCAGAACACAGTATCTGAGCTGTTTCAGCTCTGCCCTGTCTCAGCAGAGACACACTAGTGCATCGCGTGGTGAAAAGCCTCTGCTTCAGCTGGCACTTCTTCACTCAACTGGACTTTTTAGTGTTGTAGTAGCTGAGGAAGCTCCAAGGTGCAGGAATCTCTCAGGCATCCACAAGGGATCTGACCCTGGAGGGTCAGAAAAAGAGAACCACTGAAACGAAGGTTGAGAAAAACACAGCAGCATGTCAGTGCTCACCTTTTCCCCTTCTATTCACCACCTACATCTCAATCATATTTTTGTGGTATTTCCCAGAAGAGAGCATGCAGGGGGTTGTTCTGATGCCAGTTGTTTGAATTTCTGCAGTTCGTCACCCCTCCAGCTTCCCCTGGAAAAGCTCCATCCTTTTCCAGGGCTTTCAGCTTCTTTCTTGTAACCAAACGCCAGGAGAATCCAAATATTTTCTTGATTAAAGCAAAACTGAAGCCAAAAGATAGGTGAAAAACTGGATGTGCTTAATGATGGAGGTTTTTGCTGCTCACGCATCTTACTGCTATCTGAGCTGCCATTGGAGCTCTTCTGTGAAAGATGTTTTGGGGAATGGGATTTATAAAGATGCTTCTTAAGTAATAATTTTAAAGTCAGTATGTCTATACCTTAGAATTTCCTCTATGCACAAGGACCTGCAGCACCTGGAGGGAAGGACGGTGCTCTGTCTGCTGCCTGTGTCCAGCCTCACATTTCCTCCTCACAGTGCTCATCCAAATCTGCCCACAGAACCCCTGGCCTCAGCTTC